CTCTCTAGAGTCTTCTCCAGCACCAGAGTTTGCAAACATCAATTCTTCGGTGCTGGGTTCTATTCCCAACTTGCCTCTTAGCTTTTCAGTGACTTTGGACAACTCTCTTAAGTTCTGAGATTCTTGATTTGCAAAACGTGAACACTGTTAACTGCACCTTTAGCTCTCAGAGCTGTGGGGAGGATTTTATGAAGTAATGTGTGCAGCACCTTTGTAAGCCCCCTCAGTCAGGTGTTTCATTTGTGTTAGTCCCTCAGTCATGTCTGACTCTTCGCCAGGCTCCCCTGTACATGGAATTCTCCAGGCAAGTATACTGGAGTGCATGGCCATTCCTTTCTCCAGGAGATCTTCCCACTCCAGGGATCGAACCCAGGTCTCCTGCATTGCAGGCAGATTCTTTACAGTCTGAGCCACTCGAGAAGCAGAGGACCCTAATCCTTAATCAGGGCCTTCAGGAGTGGGGGGGGGGGTGGACAGGGAGGAGTGTGGGGAGGAGGAGGTGAGAAAGCTTTCCAACTGTCTCACCCCACGAAACTTGGTGCTTTTGTTAGGATTGCTTTAATGTTTCTTTTAAAACCGTTCTCCAACCCACTAGTATGGTGTTAATCATAGGTAAACCCTACCCTTGCACTCAACTCACTGGGGGCTGGACTTCGGGAAGATCCGGATACATGGCGCTTGGTTTCAGAAAGCTTAAGGGCTGGTGAGGGAGCTGCTTAGTAAACAGTGTAACGTCAGGGAGGTAAACCCAAGGTGCTCGGAGCACCGAGTTGGGGGGGGGGGAGGGTTCCCAGTTTTCCAGAACACAGTGGCCTATTTACAAAAGCACTTAAGACAATGATAGAATAATCTAGTGCCAGAAAGCAGAGGCTTTAGGGATGGACTGCTTGATTTGAATGCTGCCTGTACTGTTTGCTTCTTCTGTGACATTGGGGGCCTCCTTCACTTCTCTGTGCCTCAGTTTCTTCATCTATAAGATGGGCGTGATGATAAAGCCTGTCTCATGGTTATGAGAACTGTGTACCCAAAACATGTTTTGTCCTTTAATGCTTGGGTTTACTGTTAAATTTTCCATTGGAGAATCAAAATTGGTGTTTACAACTGAAATTCTTGCATTTCTAGAGGTAGAATCCTGATACAGTACTTCTTCACATTTATAATAGAGTTAAAACACCTTTATAGGTTTATATTTTATAATTTTTTAAAACTTGGCCTAAGGAAAATACCTTAGGTTATATAGTTTGTTAAATATGCTTGTTAGATGTGTTCCCTTTTATCCTTGGAAACAGGATTGCAGACATAGCTGTAAGCATTAGGTGACCACCAAACTCGGATTGGCTAGTGCTGTGTGGACCATGTGAAGTTACTAGTAAGTGGTTCCGGAGAGCGTGTCATGCTTTGCGGTCTTCACACCCTTTCACACCCAGTCCCTCGAACATCCTTTGCGGGTGACAAGCAGATAACAGGTGTTGTAAAACCGCTCAGAGCCTCGTTTCACTTTTCTGTGATGTTGAGATCTGTGGATCGAGCGGGGTCCCAGGACCAGTGGGGACAGAACCGGTGCGGATCCGCCCTCATCTGACTGCTCTTCCTGTGCCCTCCGCTGGACCAGGACAAAACCCTCTCTCTGGAGAAAGCTCCGTCATCTGCGGGCCCGGGGAGGACACCAGTCCGGAGGATAACTTCCTAAATAAACAAGGGTACAGGGTCGGGCTGCAGCCCATGGGCCCACCCAGCCTGAGCTTGCCCAGGTTCAGGACCGAAGGAAGAGCCAGGACTCGGCAACAGGGACCTCAGTGGTTTAAAATGGTTGAGGGAGGGGGCGCTTAACATGTGTGAAGCGAAGTCCAGCACACACAGTCACGCGGTGGCGGTGGCGGGTTCAGCTCCCAGGGAGAAGAGGGCTCTTTGGTTACCAGGGAAACCAGCCGAGGGCCACGCCCCTCCCAGCCCTTTGACAGCACTGGCTGCGGCCGGCTGGGCCGGGGGCGGCTCTGCAGGAAGGTCAGCCCTGCGCCTGGGACACAGGTGAAGCAGGCCCTGGTCGTCAGGGCATGGACAGAGAGCAAGAGGACAGCCATCTTGAGTGGCCTGACCACTCGGACACTCATCCCAGCCTTTCAGTTTAATTTGCTTTTGAAAATGTAAACTCGTGCGACAGCCTGTTTATCCAATCCTTCACATGCCGAGGTACTAGCGCGCGCCCCCCAGCTCCACTCCCTGCGGGGCGGAGGGCAGGTGCCTGTCGGGGACCGTCCTTTGGATGCTCACTGACCCGATGCTCGAGCTCTTGCCTGCTGAGAGCGCCTGCGTCTCACAGAACACCTGCCCCAGTCCCGGGCGCTGCCGCGCTCTGCTGCCGCCGCCTCTCCGCTCTTTGCTCGCCGCTACGCCCTCCTCTGTGACTGCCTTCCTCTGCTCTGAGCCACACGTTCGTTCAGGGAGCGTGGGCTGAGCCGCTCTTCAGCGCTGCACCCTGAGGGTGCAGAGGGAAAGGAGAGCCCCGAATGGGGGTGTGTGTGTCCCCGGGCTCTAGGGAAAGCCCGGGGAGTCTCCCTGGAGCCGGGTCACTGGTGAGCCCTGAACTAACGGTGGGGCTGCGCTAGTGGGCTCAATGGGGAAAGGGTGGGGTGCGGTTTGCTGGCTAAAGGTGCCTTTGGAATTTCTAGGTGGAGTTGCCCATAAGGCAGTGGGAAATAGGAGTCCATGCTCAGGAGTCAAAAACGGAAGCTATGGCAACATCAGGATCGAGGTGATGGTTTTGACCTTAGACCGCCCCAGGAGAGTATGTGTAGGAAAGAAAGATAAGAGGAAATGCAAGGTACCTGGTGACACATGAAACAGTATGGCCTTAAAGGGCGGCTGGAATTTTACTGTGGCCTTGCTCTGTTGCATGCGTGCGTGTGCGAAGTCACTCAGTCATGTCCGATTCTGTGCAGCCCCTGGGCTGTGGCCCTCCAGGCCCCTCTGTCCATGGGATTCTCCAGGCAAGAAGACTGGAGTGGGTTGCCTCCTCCAGGGGATCTTCCTGATCCAGGGATGGAACCTTTATCTCTGGCATCTACCTGCATTAGCAGGCAGTTTCCTGGGAAGCCTGTAGGGAACCAGAGCCCCCAACCAGACCCGCAAGACCTTCAGGATCAGGTGCAGGAACACCAGGGAGTCTCGTGACGCGACCCTCGGGGCTTGTGATCCCGCTTTCTGGCCTCGGTGCCAGTTTGTGCCAGAGCAGTTCCTTCTGCTTCCTGAATGTCCCATGGCTTCCCAGCATTCATTCACATGAAAGAACTGATGTTTATAGATACTCGCTAATGAGAGCATCTCCTCTGTCCAATTGGAAAATCGAACTGCGTTCAAGTCTTAACTGTTTTATCTTTCTCTTCCACTTTAGCTGTCCTTGTTTACAGCACAAAACACTCTATTTTTTTTTCTCTCCTTCATGCAGTAGATCTTGTGCTGGATCTAGCCCGCCACCAACATGTTAGAAAGTTCTGAGCCAGAAGTTTCACTCCGCACGGATATGGTTGCCTTGAGGCACATATGGTGGGGTTCATACCTTGTCTCCGTGGTTTCAGCCGTAGTGTCCTGAGAACGCCACGCTCGTGGTCACTGTGTGATCTGACCTGCCTCTCTGCCCAGCTGCAGTAGGCACAGGTCGGGTTCTCTCTCCACCTCTTTGAGTATCCAGGTGGCTTTCATGGTACCACTGACTCTCCAAGTCGATTATGAATCTTATATTTAAAGAAATCTGTGATTTGGAGGTGGGTGGGACTCTCACTTCTGAATATAAGCAAGCCACTTCACCTGATGTTCAAAGAACTACTGTCTGTCCCAGTGCTGGAAGAAGTCAGCTGTTTTAGGCCCAGAGAGGTAGTAAGTCCACTTCTGAGTCTTCCTGAAGGTTCTTCCAGAGTGTTTAGGACTGTGCAGTCGTCCCCACGCCTGCAGCCTTTAAATCCTAGCATCACATAAGACATAACTCCACAGGTGGACACTCGTAAGTGAAATTGACCTCCCTGCTTTGTTGTCTGTGTGAGAACACCAGCATGGGGTTTGGGAAAGGACCGTGAGTCCAGCTCGGAGCAGAGAGGCTGGTTTGCAGCCCTTGGTGTCCTGAGTCCTGGAAGAGAGGACGGCCTCCCAGAGAGTGAGAGGAGGGAGGGAGGGGTCTGAGGTCGGGAGCTGAGCGGCCACACAGGCGGTGGGCTTCCAGGAAGTGTTGCTCACACAGTGGAAACACTGGGATCAGATAACAGCCTTACTGGGCATCCCAGGTCTGCCAGATACAGCCCAGTGGGAAGCGTTCAGCCTCCTCTGGCCTTTCTTTCCTCAGCTGAGATGAGACGATGGAGGGTGAATTTGCATCAGAGGAATGGAAAATAGGTGGACAGGTCCACGGGGAGTGCAGTCTTCAGATGGGGTTGAGGTTCTGTCTTGTATGACTCACAGTTACCATTGTGTTGGGAAGCCTTCACCTGGGGAAATGGTGTTATTTAGACACTGGCAGCATCTCTGAGGCTGAAGAAGAATTTGCACCAGTGTAGAGTGTGTACTTCACCCCAGCTTACTCCTGGGCTGGAGGAGCGCCTCTCGGGTGCGTGTGTGTGTGTATGTGTGTGTCTCCATTTTCTATGTGCTCAGTACCCACTCTGTGTGTGTGTTTCCATTAGTATCTTTTCCCCTGCCTTCTACTCTGCATCAGCCCAGGCCCTCTATCACCTAAGACCCCTCACGAGACTCTCACAGAGAACTTCTGACTTATATTCTGGCTTATAGCAGTGGCCCCTGGTGTATCCCCATGACATTTTCAGTTACTATCTCACAAAAACGGTAGTTTTCTCACTCTGCTGGTGGCTTATGTGCAGTTCAGCTGGGCGCGGAAATGTAGATTACTTTGTTTTATTATCTTGTTTTATGTATGTATTACCTGGGGCCCCAGCTAGCCATGGAAGTTGCTTGATAAATGCTGTTCTTTTTGTTTTGTCATTTTTTTCTTGTAGAGCTTTCACTGTTGAGGTTCCTCAGTGCTGAACTAACCAGAGGGTACTTCCTTGAACATAATGAGGCCAAGTATACAGAAAGAAGAGAAAGAGTGTACACTTGTATGCGAATACCAAGAGAATTGGAAAAGGTACTGTTTTGGGGTTTTTTTAATTACTTGCCATCATTTTAAAAATTATGTCAACATGTTAATTCTGTTAAAAACAATGTGAACTGCTTGAGTGGAGTTTTTAAAATATTGGAAATAATGGGATCATGAATAATTAGGTGGGATAGGAATTCCCAGATAGGAAGAGTCTTTAAAAGGTGCATTTTTCAGTGTCAACCCAGTGATCTGTAACTTCGCTGTTTATTAACGTTACTGAATTCCCGTTTGAGTCTTCCCTGGTGGCTCAGTGGTAGAGAATCCACCTGCCGATGTAGGAGTCATGGGTTTGATCCCTGGGTCAGGAAGATCCCCTGGAGGAGGAAATGGCAACTCACTCCAAGTCTTCTTGCCTGGAGAATCCCGCGGAGAGAGGGGCCCTTGCCCACCAGGCTGCCCGTCCACGGGACCACAGATGAGGTGGACACTACTGGCGGCTACACAGTACGAGCAACAATTCCCATTTATGTTCCATTCAGATAATTTTCTTCAAGGAATTACTCTCTTCTTATTCTTCTAATTCTCTTCAGTTTGTTTTTCCTAGAAGCAGTTTTTTTCCCCATTCAGCATGATATAAATTATTTAATTTCACCCTTTGTTAAAGTGTCAGTTTCTCAGAAAGCCCTCATTTTTTAAAAATGTAAAGGACACTTTCTCCAAAGAAAATTGGATAGTCTGTTTCACCTTCAACACAGAAAACATCTCAGTATGGAATAAACACGTAACAGCACCACTAATCCTTCCATGTGGTCCTCCCTTGATGTGTCCTAGGACACCAGCACTGATCAGATACGAAGCCAAGGCTGCCCTTTTCCTCTGCATTCACAGAGTTGATGAGTCAGAACCGTTTGGAAGTTTCTTATAAGAAGGAAAGAGTTAAGCAATAATTCAGCTTTCAGTTCAATTCAGTCACTCAGTCATATCCGATTTTTTGCAACCCCAGGGGCTGCAGCAGGCCAGGCCTCCCTGTCCATCACCAATTCCCAGAGCTTGCTCAAATTCATGTCCATCGAGTCGGTGATGCCATCCAACCATCTCATCCTCTGTTGTCCCCTTCTTCTCCTGCCCTCAATCTTTCCCAGCATCAGGGTCTTTTCTGATGACTCAGCTCTTCACATCAGGTAGCCAAAGTATTGGAGTTTCAGCTTTAGCATCAGTCCTTCCAATGAATATTTAGGGTTGATCTCCTTTAGGATGGACTGGTTTGATCTCCTTGCAGTCCAAGGGACTCTCAAGACTCTTTTCCAACACCGCAGTTCAAAAGCATCAATTCTTCAGCGCTCTGCTTTCTTTATGGTCCAGCTCTTACATCCATGGAAGTTTCTTGTAAGAAGGAAAGAGTTAGGCAATAATTTATCTTTAGCTATGCTAAAACATGTTCTTGTACATTTTAAGAAACACAGAACTTGTGATATTCCAGTCGGTTCCCTGGAATCATAGTTTCTCGTAGAGTTGGTATGGAAGGGTTTAGTTGGTGTGCTTTCTCCGTGGGCCATAACAACAGGAGGAGTGGTAGACAGTGAGAAGGGAGGGCGCGGGCGGTCTGGCCAAGGTTTGTTTATTTCTAACTGTCCACCCATTTGGTAGAAGGAAGAGGGTCGCATGTGAAGGGGCAGGTTGAGAGACCTTGTTTTCGTGGGTTTTTGGTGGCGGGTGGTACATGAGAGCTTTGGGGGGCTCTGTATTGGGGTGAGGTTAGAGAGTGGGGAGCCAGCAGACGTTTGAGACAATGAAGCAGTTTGGTGCCTTTGGCCAGGACCCTTAACCACGCGTGGCGGTTACCGCATCTCTGCTTTTCTCTGGGGCTCTGTGCCGGGGCCGAGGCCTGGGGGTGAGGAGGGAGGTGTTTGGGGGTGGGGGGGTGCAGCCCTCCTCCCCGGGGCGGCAGCTCCCTTGTTTCGTGCATTAGAGTAGCTTTGAGGTTTTGTCCAGGAGGAACCTGGCAGGTGATGTTTCTTCTGCTTGAAAAAATAATTTTTTGTTTAAAGTAATTCTTGTGTCTTTCTTAAAACATCTGAACCTGCTTTTCAAAGCTCACTTTTTTCTGTCAGTGATCAGCCCTGGGCTGGAAGTGGGCAGCCACTGCAGATGACCCTGCTGGGGACCTACCTTCTCTCTGCGGTCTGGATGCTTGTCCACCCGCCTGTCTGAGCTGCTGGCCTCCCGCTTTGCTCTGGGCGAGCCCAGAGGATTATGTCCGCTGTCCGCAGGCAGACTTTATGGACTTCAACTTAGGAGGTGTCCTGCTGACCCCTTGTACCACTTTGCACCTGTGGTAGAAACAGCTCACAGTGACCGCAGCCCCCCATAACTGTCACCTTATCAGAGGCAGGCTCAGTACACCCATCCTTCTCTTTTCCTCATCTGTTGTTCAGTCACTGAGCTGTGTCCAGCCTCTGCAACCCTGTGGACTGCAACACACCAGGCTCCTCTGTCCTCCTCTCTCTCCCGGAGTTTGCTCAAATTTATGTTTGTTGTGTCAGTGATGCTATCCAATTATCTCATCCTCTGTCACCCCCTTCTCTTTTTGCCTTCAGTCTTTCCCAGCATCAGGGTCTTTTCCAATGAGTTGACTCTTCACATTAGTGGCCAGAGTTTTGGAGCTCTAACTTTAGCATCAGTCCTTTTGGTAAGTATTTAGGGATAATTTCTCTTTGGATTGACTGGTTTGATCTCTTTACAGTAAGGGACTCTTAAGAGTCTTCTCCAGCACCACAGTTATTTTCCTTATTCAGTTCAGTTCAGTCACTCAGTCGTGTCCAACTCTTTGCAACAAACCATGAACCACAGCACACCAGGCCTCCCTGTCCATCACCAACTCCTGGAGTCCACCCAAACCCATGTCCATTGAGTCAGTGATGCCATCCAGCCATCTCATCCTCTATCGTCCCCTTCTCCTCCTACCCTCAATCTTTCCCAGCATCAGGGTCTTTTCAAATGAGTCAGCTCTTCGCATCATGTGGTCAGAGTATTGGAGCTTCAGCTTCAACATCAGTCCTTCCATTGAACACCCAGGACTGATTTCCTTTAGGATGGACTGGTTGGATCTCCTTGCAGTCCAAGGGACTCTGAAGAGTCTTCTCCAACACCACAGTTCAAAAGCAACAGTTCTTCTGTGCTTAGCTTTCTTTATAGTCCAGCTCTCACATCCACACATGACCCCTGGAAAAACCATAGCCTTGACTAGACGGACCTTTGTTGACAAAGTAATGTCTCTGCTTTTCAATATGCTGTCTAGGTTGGTCACAACTTTCCTTCCAAGGAGTAAACATCTTTTAATTTCATGGCTGCAGTCACCATCTGCAGTGATTTTGGAACCCAGAAAAATAGTCAGCCACTGTTTCCACTGTTTCCCCATCTATTTCCCATGAAGTGATGGGACCGGATGCCATGATCTTAGTTTTCTGAATGTTGAGCTTCAAGCCAACTTTTTCACTCTCCTCTTTCACTTTCATCAAGAGGCTTTTTAGTTCCTCTTCACTTTCTGCCATAAGGGTGGTGTCATCTGCATATCTGAGGTTATTGATATTTCTCCCGGCAGCATTGAAATCACACGCAAATTTCTTGGTGGATTTCTCACAGAAACTTGTAAGCTTTTCATGTTTGTTGTTGTGAGTATTAAATTGTCTTCTGGGAAAATCTTTGCAGGTCTTGATGGAACTTCAGTATAAACCAGTGTTTTTCAAACTGTGGTCTGTTGCAGGACCAGTAGTAGGTGGAATAACCCATGTAGTAAGCTGTAATCGATGAGGATTTATTCTGTTGAATTGAAGAATAAAAAAAGTATCACATTGCATTCATTGCCTATACTCAGGGTAAGTGTTGTTTACTACTTGCTGTTTGTTTTACATTTATTTTAAGACTATAAAAATGATGTTAGACAAAAAGCAAATTTGAGCAATTTTTTAATCCAAATTCAAAATGGGTCGTAAAGCAGCAGAGACAGTTCACAACATCAGCAATGCATGTGGCCAAGGAACTGCTAACGAACATATAATGCAGTGGAAATTCAAGAAGTTTTGGAAAGGAGGCAAGAGCCTTGAAGATGGCGGGCTTAGTGGCTGCCCATTGGAAGTTAGCAACAGGCATTGAGAGCAATTATCAAGGCAGACCTTCTTAGAACTACATAAGAAGTTGCTAAAGAACTCATCATCAGCTATTCTACATTCATTCGGCATTTGAAGCAAATTGGAAAGGTGAAAAAACTCAGTAAGTGGCTGCCTCATGAGCTGACTGAAAAGTCAAAACAAAATCATTGTTTTGAAGTGTCATCTTCTCTTATTCTCTTCAACAACAATGAACCATTTCTCGATCGGATTGTGATGTGTGACAAAAAATGGATTTTATACAACCAGTGATGACCAGCTCAGTGGCTAGACCAAGAAGAAGCTCCAAAGCACTTCCCCAAACCAAACTTGCACCCAAAAAAAGTGGTCTTGGACACTGGTGGTCTCCTGCCAGTCTGATCCACTCCAGCTTTCTGAATCCTGGCAAAACCACTGTATCTGAGAAGTGTGCTCAGCAAATGGATGAGATGCACTGAAAACTGTTACACCTGCAGTCAGCACTGGGCAACAAACGGGCCCAGTTCTTCTCCATGACAGCGCCCACCACATGGCACAAAACCAAGGCTTCAGAAGCTGGGCTGCAGGGTTCTTCTGCCTTGTTCGACCTCTCACCAATCGACTACCACTTCTTCAAGCATCTTGACAGCTTTTTGTAGGGAAAACACTGCCATAACCAGCAGGAGGCAGAAAATGGTTTCCAAGAGTCCATTGAATCCTGAAGCATGGATTTTTATACTACAGGAGTAAATAAACTTATTTCTGTTGGCAAAAATGTGTGGATTGTAATGGTTCCTATCTTGATTAATAAAGATGTGTTTGAGCCTAGTGATAATCTAAAATTCATAGTCCAAAACCGCAGTTACTTTTATACCAGCAATAAGACTAAGTGGCGCATAAAGGCAAGCAGACTTAGATTTC